ATATGAAGAGTATGAGTGGTGAGAACTAGAGGTAGATGGCTTTTTACTGCAACTAGAGCATTAGAACCGCTTTAGTACCCCAGGAATGGGTTCATAGCTATCTAATCCCACTTCTAAAACCAGGTAAAGATAATTTCAGATTCAGCGGTTTCAGGATTATCACTCTATAAAATACTTTTTGCATGATGGTAGAGAAGATTATTTACTGTTACACTACAATTTTTGGGGGAAAGCAAAGAGCTATTGCTTTACACATGGCTCTGTGTTACTAAGCAAACGAAGCTCACGTAAGTTAATAGCAAGATCGACTGGATAGTTGCTTAGCGCAGCATAACATTTCATAAGACACTAGCTGTACCCGGCCACGCGTTGCTGTGGCATAGTTTGGCTAAATGGAAATGAAAGAAAATAGAAATCGCACGTGTCTAATACAATCATTGTCTGCTCAGATAAGAGATAGTCTTTTATCCCCGCCCCCCCCCCTCACCACCACAACTAAATCAGCCTACTACTCTCTCCCTCATCAAATGTTTTTGGAAAAGAAAGACAATGGAAATCGCTCGTGTCTGATATAGTTAATGTCGCAATCATTTTCTGCACAGATATAGAGATAGTCTGGTTTTCCAACTTTAGAACACGCACCTTATAATTGTGTCTTTATATTATTGGTCGTTTCAATGGTGTTATTAGCACAGTAACAAAAATGACTATTTGGTTATCACATGCTAAAGCTGTTTGTATTTTTATAGGAGACGGAAGTAAAGCTACAACTGTACTTGTAAATAACAAAGTAAGTCGTAAAAAATAGAAAAGCGGAGGTAGCATTGGTAAAATATAAACAAATTAGGTAATGAGAACTTGAAAATCACGTGTAAAGCTTTTTAAGTTCTCTTAAATTTAGGTCATTACTCCCTCCCCTCCCCTCTTCCACCGACTACTGCTCTCTCCCTCTTCGAAGGATTTGAAAATCATTACCTGGCGATATTTTTGTTGTTGCTGTAACTGACATTGACATCCCTGTCCATCCGGACTAAAATGGGAAGCAGGAATTGTAATAGGTAGTGAATGGAGCTAGTGTAATATTTACCACATCATCCTTCAAGTACCAGTACAACTACTACCACGACCACCACCACAGTAGCTAAAATAATGTCACTGCTATCTGTGTTACCATCGGAGTAGACAGAGAGTCGTGAGCCAGAAGATTTGGTTCCGCATGGCTAGTGCTGTCGCCACAGACTAGTCAGGTTAGGATGTATAATTTCGCTTCCCGACAGAAGAACGCCATAACCTTACCGGCGGTGTTCACATGAGAGCACTACGCTTTAACAGCCCAACCACAACTATTACTGCTGCTGCTACTTTTAGTGGGTAAAGCAGTTACTGTGACTTAAAGCTCTCTCAGTTAACAGTTTGCCCCCCCCCCCCCCCCCTCTCTCCAAAAAAAAAAATTCACCGACAACTCTTTCCCTCATTTAAGTAGTTGGGAGAGAATAAAAAAAACACTTGAAAAGCAAATTAAAACAGGAAAAAAACAACAACCATAATTAGGAAATGAACGCTATGGTAAACAGAACAGCTTAAAATTCCAACGCAGATGAAATCACTAAATCTAAATGAAAATAAATGGAAAGCTATGAAATTTGAGCGTAACCATGCAATCGGAAAGTTTAAAAATGCAATCATGTATTAAGGGCAACATGGCTAGTGCTGTCACCATGACAGAGCAGATAAGGATATTATTTTAGTCCGGGGTAAAAAAAAAATTACTACTGTGGATTCGAACCCTGGTCTCCCGCACAGGAACCCAGTGTTGTAACCATTCGACCAAGCAGCCACTTCATAAGAGCAACGAAAAGAGAACTAAACTATTGAGATGTGTGACCCTACTACTACTGTGTCTGATTATAACACAACTCAAAACCGCAGGCAATTGTTTTCTCATAGACAGATACTCCAGATATATTAATGAAACGGCACAACAATAGAAATCGCACGTGTCTAACACGGTTAATGGAGTTAATGTGGCAGTCAATGTCTGCGCCGACGTCGGGATAGTCCTTGATGCCCCCCCCCCCTATCTCCCCTTCCCATCGAAGGTTGTTTGGAAAAAAAAAACAGAAAATAGAAATCGTGTTTAATATGGTTATTGTGGCAATCACTGCCTACACAAATATAGAGATGGTCTTGTTCGCTGTACCACGACCTACTCTATGTTATTAGAGAAGGCGTTGGCTGCACGTAACTCGCCGGCGAATAGCAGAAGACTTGCGTTCACTACGGTGCATGCGCAATTACTAACGTGGCTATAATTAGATGTCACTAACAATTTAAATATTAGTTTCGAATATTTTTGCCTAAATTGTGGTCACCTATATTTAACAGTGACAGGTTGAATTCCGGTTTAACATCCGGTATCAAAACAAACATATCCTGAAAATTTCAGCTAAATCGGTTCAGTAGCTTCCGAGTCTATAGGGGGCAAACAAACACACAAACATTGATTTTTATATATATAGATAACAACATATAGTTTGAGAATGTAGCTGGGAGCAGTGGCTGCAGAATACCCCTAGTTTAAGTATCATCTGTAAACAAATGTCATAATTGTAGCCAACACAGCCGGCAAAGCATGTTTTGAAAGGTGAAGACCTACCTGCTTCGTGAAGAGTGGCAATCATCGCATTAGAGTCCTGAATTGTTTGTTTCCTCTGGATACTTTCTCCAGTTTATACCGATATATAAGGAAATGAACAGGCCGATAAAATGGTTGGTACTGCACAACGTAGTGGAGAAGTAATGAATGGTTAGATAGAGACAAGTGCCTTCGGGTGCAAGGACTTTGAAAGATGCGACTATGGTGATGGCCAGACTAATTCCGCACGATTGTGTGCTAGGAATGCAGGGCCAACAACTATAAGAACACTTCCTGATAAACTGTAAAACCTTCGACCTAGAAAGACAAAAGCTCGTTCTACACTGCATCAGCGTGTGCAGTGAGGACAAGACACAGTGACTTGTCAATTAGTTCATTTCAAGAACAGGAAAAGCGATCTGAGTACCACTCCTCAGCCCAGACTGGAAGCTGTACAACCTGATGTGACCTGGTCAAATTAGCGTGTACCATTGACGACCGTCAGATCTAGCTATCCTTCAATCTCACTCTTCCCGCTTGTCGCAAAACAAACACTTACGTCTCACACTTACGTGGAGGGGGGAGGGGAGGGGGGTGGGAGCTGTCGCGTGCGGAAATGCACAAGGACGCACCAGTACTGAATGAGCAAATAGAACGTCAAAACAATACGTAATGTTGTTAAGGAATTGTTGTCTGAGCATTCGGTGTATAGTCTGAAGGAGACAGACGTGTGGTAGTGTCTTAGTGGATCCCTGAGGACACTCTACCCCGGAACTCCACTAGAAACCTCAGCTGAAAACTGGTACATTGTTTATTGCGCTCGGCAAGAAGCCGGTAAACTTAAGGAAAAATTCTCCAGGCCGAATCATTTAAGAGGGACATTGCCCTGTTCAGACTGCAGAAACGGAGATCGATTTGACCGTCCGGACTTTCAAGATCGGGCTGTTGACCTGTTGTTTGAACTGAAGATGTCATTCGAAGGAATTAAGAGAGTGTGTGCGGTAGCTTGTGTTGGCGTGTTTGGGTGAGTCTTCACCAAGAGTCCTATTATTTGCACATTTTCTCATTGATCAAGAATGTCAACAAATAAACAAATTACATATTCCCTAGTTTTTTTTTTTTTTCGTTAACTGCCGTTTGGAAGCATTGAAGTTCATACTGTTCTGCGACATTTAGCTGGTGGCATTGTATTCTAAGTTAAGATGTATTCGTTTGTACCTGATTACACATTTCAATGGGAACCTACGTCTCTCACCCGATCGCACATCACACCACCTTACTGTATGTCCTCTGTAGCATTCCAGCAATCTAAAACTATGCTACTTCCACTGTCTCTGCCAATTTGGTGAATAACAACGTAAATGCTAACGAGCTAACAAAAAATCTTAACTTAGTATATTTTCAGAAAGAAGAAGACAACGGAAAGAACAAAAGGCCACCCGACGCTCTGAAGCAGAAAGCTGAGGGCATTGCACCAAAGGGGACCAGCACTCGGGGATACCAGTCTCTCTTACGCCACCCTACCCCCACAGAACATGCATTTTAACAATGCCTTTCAGTCTTTTTATTTTTTCAGACCAGGGGACCTCAACCCACCAGAAAAACAAGCGCCGGAAACCCATCTTTCTCAAACTATCTGTCGCTCTCATGTTTCCGACCTCACTAACAAATCTCCTGGCACATTCGAGCAATTAGTTCACTCTTTTGCAGCCTATCTTAACTCCACTACTTCTCCACACTGTGGACACACACACACACACACACACACACACACACACAAGAGCGGTAACCCGACAGGCAATAGGGCACCAGCGCAGCCATCAGCACGAGTTAAACCAAGCATCAGCACCAGTCAGCTTAAACCCACAGAGTTCGGAGCTAATAGAGCTGCACCAGACCGAACCCAGAACCCCAAGTACTACTCTGGACTTAGGAAGACTAAAAGCAGGAATTTCAGGTGTGAATTCACACCACGAAGAATAGGAAACCAAATAAGATAGCCAAGGAACCTTCCTTTATATAGCAGGCCTCTGGGCGGCTGAAAAAGGATCAAGTTTGGAATTTTTGGTAATCCACTGGAAATGGTATTGGTAGCGAGTGAACAGTGCGGAGACACAGATGGATCACTAAAGTCTGAGGAGTACCACAAGGAGTGACCAGAGGATCTGGCGCCGATGATTAGCACTCAGGGGACAGGTGAGAAGGACATAGAATTAGACTGCTATAAGATCATGTGAGTAGTCCTAAACCGCACACTGTCGTCCAAGTAAAATGCTGCTGGTTCAAATTGTAAAGCATTCTTCGTTCAATATCCGCAGTGCACCACATAGAGTACCAACCCTTTAAAGGTTAATGACACAGTCAATTATTTGTCTGCCTTTCTAGACTTGTTTGATTTCACGTTTTTAGGTCCAAATCCTAAATAGAATTTAATTCTATTCCCCATGTACTTGATAGTTTCTTGCTCCCTCCTGAATGCCATGTATCTAGTAAGCTCAAACCCTTCATACAAAATAGAACAGAAAAAATTAACAATGATATACTGAGATGAAACTGTCACCATGAGGAAATATATGCGTCCTAGAAAAACATCAGCTGCTACCAAAGAATCATATTCTGACTCTCCCATAATAAAAAAGAGAAGAGTAAACAAACTAATAGTAACGGACCGATACGATCGCACAATGGCCCCAAAGAGAAGTATTCCCGTGACAGCAAATGCACAAAACAATATGGCGGTCACAAGCAGCAAACCATACAGGTCGGCGTGGGCATTGAGGAACGACCTGAATGTTATCACCACTAAAGGGTTGAACCTGCAGATAGACATAAACATGCAACTTTTTCAAACTAAAATATTACCAATTTTTAAAACTGTAAACGAAAAAATATAGTAACTATAAAATAACTAACAATGGAATATTTAAACTCTCATACCACGAAGGAGGTTTGCATTGCCAACAACACAGTAAAGGAGTTAATATATTGCTAGTCCAATATATATATATATATATATATATATATATATATATATATATATATATATATTCTTGTGTGTGTTTGTGTGTGTGTGTGTGCACGCGCGCGAGCTGAGTTTTGTAAAGAGATACGTCTATAGCTACTTGGAAGACTACTCTCTAATGAGCCAAATTTAAGATGATGATAGACTTTGGCAGTTTTAAATGCTAATGGAAAGTAGTCCTTGACTGTGCATTTGTTGTAAATGAAAAATAATGACGTGCAGTTAACTGATGCAGTACAACCAAGGATCTTATTGATTACACAATCTAGACCGGATGCATTTCTGTTTTTCAGATTAGCGAGATATCTAAAAACGTCATTGACTGACATCAGAGGCATGTGAGTGGGGACATCTCTGGAGTCTTTATTTTAACACAATATTGGCAGCATGGGTAAATCACATGGATAGCTCGGTATTGTAACCTGTATCTACTCTATGTTATCCTGAAAGTAATTACTGAAATCATCAGATGTTGTATTAGAAGATACCACACAAGTTGAAGTGTTTTTGTTTGTCAGTGTGGTAATTGCCTTCCACATATTCTTACTGTTTCTTTATCTGTTACTTAGTTGTTGTTTTTTAACCTACAAATAGCATACTGTAATTTATTACGCAAACTCCGATATGTGATTCAGTTTTTATCTGTGTATGCCCTATCTAGTTATCTCATAATGTCGACTACTTTATAGTTGATCCATGGTAATTTAGTCTGACGTTTCACAAGGACCTTCTTCACTGGCACATGTTTATTAAACACACCAAGAAAGGTCTTTGGTCAATACTCCAGAGCTTTATTCGGATCAGGGAGTTGATAAACTTGGTCAAGGGTTGAATTTATCAAATCTAGTAGAAATGCCTCTTGACTGAAATTTGTATAGATTCCAAATGTCATGCTTATATGTTCGTGTTTTAGAATGTAATTTCCATTTTCGACCATGTACCGCACATAGGAAAATGATCAAACGTTGCAGTAGTGGTAACTTTGCATTCTACTATATTGTCAGGACATGTTGCAATAATATGATCTATATGTGTGAAATATTTTTTAGTTACTCTGGTAGGTTCTTCAACTTTTTGTTGGATATTTTATGAAGTAAATATATTTTCCTATGTGTTGCTAGACTTGTGAGTATCGATAGTTGTCCCCAGGAAGTATGATTTCCTATCACATCTGTCATGGCAGTGAAGTTTTCACACTATATGTATCCAGCACTGGGGTTGCGATAATGATGACAAAATACTAGGGGTTGGCGATTTTGTGTTTTAAACTCTAGCCAATCACACTAGTCTTTATGTCTAGTCTACAGAGAACATTAAGTGAACTTTATATGTAGACCGTTTTACCTGTTTTTTGTTTCTCATGTAGATCACTTCTAATTACATTATAACCATTTTTCAATACATCATCTTTTTGAGATGAAATCATTTAATTGACTTTCGGTAAGACCGAAGATTTGAACATTTTGATTAAGGATAAAAGATAATTGGAACCGTTTTCCCATTAGATGACATATATTAAAATGACCTAATTTTATGAACAGCTCTGCTAAGCTAGTTTTCACTTTGGCTAGACATTACCAGCAGCCGTAAAGTGCAAATGTAGCAGGGCAAAATAAAAGCAAGATAATGACAAGTAACAGCAGAACAAAAAGTAATGGCAAAAAAGCACACACAATGTTACCGTGCAAGAAAGCAAATGACAGTTAACAATCAGTATTTTAGCAGCCCACAAGTTAAATAGTTTTATTAAAAGTATAACTGTAGCTTATTACACAGTCAGTGTTTATATTTGTGTATGTGTGTGTGCGTGCATGTATTTCAGATTGTACCTCGAGACTGGTCGAGTGGATAGAGAAATAGCTAGCTAGATAGATAGATAGATAGATAGATAGATAGATAGATAGATAGATAGATAGATAGATAGATAGATAGATAGATAGATAGATAGATAGATAGATAGATAGATAGATAGATAGATAGATAGATAGATAGATAGATAGATAGATAGATAGATAGATAGATAGATAGATAGATAGATAGATAGATAGATAGATAGATAGATAGATAGATAGATAGATAGATAGATAGATAGATAGATAGATAGATAGATAGATAGATAGATAGATAGATAGATAGATAGATAGATAGATAGATAGATAGATAGATAGATAGATAGATAGATAGATAGATAGATAGATAGAAAGATAGATAGATAGATAGATAGATAGATAGATAGATAGATAGTACTGTTTAAGCCTCGTTTCTCCTCAAACCGGCTGCTAAATCACTGTACTTTTCGAGCTTGTACAAATGATTCTCCTCCATACGCGACTCAAACGGGACCGTCAACTCAATCAGGATGAGCTGCCGTTTTTGCGCAGAATGGAGAACGATGTCCGGTCGCAGGCCGGTTTTACGGATCAACTCGGGATACCGTTCATGGCCTGGCAGATCAACTGCCAGTAACCAGTCCCTCGCAGAGTCTAGCACCGATGGAGCGAATGCGTTTTTGTTGACCTTACCAATTGGTAAGGAAACGAATGGGGGCGATACTAGAACTGGCTCTGGCGTTAGCCCTCATTCTAGCCTGGTCGACAACGGCTGCTAACTCCTTTAGCACCTTGTTGTGGCGCCAGGTATATCGGCCTTGACCTAGGGCTTTCCTGCACGCGGACAGGACGTGCTCAAGAGTTTGCTTTGATTTGCACAACGGGCAAGTCGGATCGTTGGTCGCAGACCATTTAACCATATTAACACCGGACGGTAATACATCGTACGCCGAACGAACGATAAAGCTCAGTCGCAGCGGGGTCATTCGCCAGATCTCACCCCATGTGAGTATTCTTGGCAATGCGCTCTCCAGGCTGACCCAATGGCCCTGCTGCGACTGCTGGGCTGCTTTCTGGACCCGAACCTCGTTTTCGTTGTCCCTCACCGTTTGTATCACCATGTCTCGGCGTTCTTTGGCTGAGGCCTTTGACCACCAATTGACCTTCCCGTGCCCTAGGCCTCGACGGTCGGTTTGTGTGTAACCCATAATCTCCTTCAATTTTAGTGCGTTCTGAGCAGATTCTTTCGCATCGAGGACTCTCCACTTGGTTCCAGTCTTTAGAGCGGGCTGGACAGCGGTGACATTTGGGTCTGAAGACTCGCGCAAGAGCATGGCGAGCCTTACCTTGCCGACTTTAAACTCTTCTGTTATCGACTTGAACGGAAGTACCAGCTTAGCCTGTTTGCAATACAGAGCCACGTCGGTCAGACAAGGCGGTGCTCCAATCCACTTTCTTAAGGCTGTGTTGATTTTTTTCTCCATGGCTTCAACTGCAGCCATCGTCACCTCGTAGACTAGCAGTGGCCATAGGAGCTTTGGAATCAACATGAATTGGAGACACCATACCTTGAATTTTCCGATCAGCCTGCATCGCTCGATCGCGAGCAGGCCTGTAGCCAGTGACTCGTGTATTCGCCGGACCTCCGCTCTGTCAGATAGCTTCGAATCGTAAACGCGACCGAGACTCTTCACCGGTTCCTCCAGAACCGTAGGGATCTTGTTCCTTGCCACCGTAAAACTGGTCGCCGACACCCTACCCTTATGGATTGACAGACTCCTCGATTTCTGCGGTTTGAACTGCATACCGCTCCATTGGACCACCGCGTCCAATCTATTCAGGATCGTGCGGGCAGACTCCTCGCTGCCCGTTATTATAGTCGTGTCATCCATAAATGCGCGTAGTGGCGGCAACCAGTGATCCCCTATTTAAAGGCCCAGTCCGTAGCCGGCCGCCCCGTCTAACATGATCTGCATTGCCATGACAAACAGTATAGGTGAGATCGTATAGCCCATAGCTATCCCAATCTGCAACTCAGTCCACCTCGTGGTAAACGTCGAGGTAGAGAAGCGCAAAGCGAACTTGGAGAAATATTGCTCGATCATCTGACTGATCTGTGTCGGTACGTGAAACATGCGAAGGGCTCGCCACAGAAGCCTATGGGGGACTGCCCCGTAGGCGTTGGCTAAGTCCAACCATATAACGTGCAAATCGGTTCTCTCATGCTTGGCTCTCTGGATAGCCTCCCAGATCATGGTCGCGTGTTCAAGGCACCCAGGAACGCCTGGGATACCACCCTTCTGAACATTCGTATCTATGTACTTGTTAGTCATCAGATACTGTGTGAGCCGGCGAGCCATGACTGAGAAGAATATCTTACCCTGAACATTCAACAGCGAGATGGGCCTGAATTGGGAAAGACTCTTCGAGTCCTGCTCTTTGGGAATGTAGACCCCATTTGCCTTTGACCACTCTGGACATATGTGATTGCGGATCCACGCTTGTCTCAACAAGACGTGAAGCATTTTAAGGATTTTCGGGCAACGCTTGTAAAGAACGTACGGGACACCGTTCGGACCTGGGGCAGACTTGACGCTGGCTTTTTTCACAACGTCCTCAACCTCAGACCAAAGGGGAGGTACCATTTTAAATGGTACCTTCGGCACCGAAGGCTGTTTAAGACCGCTAAGGATCTCTGGATTGTCATCTAGAGGCTCACTCCTCTTTTTATCAGAGTACATCTTGCGTAGATGTAGCTCCAGTTCTTCCTGACTGACAACCAGAGTCCCAGACTTCGGTTGCTTGAATAGACCTCGGGCGAACTGATACGGGTCCCTTAAGAATTTCTCTCGCTCCCTTTTGGTTCTTCGTCTGTTGTTACAGAAACGCTCGGCGCGACAGAGGGCACTGTGTTTGTTCTTTAAGTGCACCCACACTTCATACAGCCCCTCCCGTTCGCTGCCTGTAGCGGCTTTGAACCGTTTTCTGAGGGCATTCTTGTCTGCCCGACACTTCAGAATGTCCCTCTGCCTCCTGCTAGTATTCTGCTTGGCACCCGGCTGTGCCTTTACTACTGTCCCGAACTCGCGGGAGCAGTGTTCATATATTACATCACCAAATTTAGTAAGCTTGTCGCCTAGCGGCTTCTTGTTTAGAGTTTGTTTAAGTACCTCACATAATGTAACCTCCAACTTACACCACACCACTTTCTCGCTCGCAGGTGGAAACCTGATTCTGGAACGCACTTCTTCAGAAATCATCAAAGGTGCTCCCCCGCAGTCGACGTCATGGGCCTCTCCGGGCGTGTGGGGTTCACCCTGCCCGTCGTACCCTGACGACTCAGAAACTACAACAGGAGTGGTAGTTTTGCGACGGCGTTTACTGCGTGGAGCACCCTCGCATTTCATTCTTCCGGCATGCGTTCTCAGACCATGCAGCCCCGTGAAGCTTTTCCCACATGTACAGAGCCAGCCCGGACGTTGGGCGAGTATCTCAGTCCGGGGGCTAGCAGAGTCGTCACCGAGGGTATCAATCAGATTGGGCCCTTCATTCTCCCCCCCCCCCCTTTCGGAGGGCCCTGGGGGCATATTTCATTGTGGTCGTACGAAATCGGAGGTATTATACTGTGTTAGGGGTGATCAACCCGGTCCACAGTCGACATCTGTCTCCAGATGTCAGTTTATCCCCCCGGCGATACCGGGGGGCCAGTCTTTCCAAAGGTGTCAAAGGGTCTTTCCTGGTAGTCTTGTGGGCTAGCCACGTACAATAAGAATAAACTCACAGGGAGCAAGTACAGCGGGGATCTACCAGTCATCAGTAGAAATTATCCTCTGTCGACACACGTTTCGGCCCACGATTCCTAAACGTATTCGGAGGTGGGCCCACCTGAGTTCATGAAGCTCAGGGCTGGTTCCCCGCTGCACGGAATTACCGGATGGTGTTATTATTTCGGCCAGAGAAAAGACGACTTGGTGGTTTCGAAGGAGGTACTGTGAGATAAGATCTAGAATCTACTTAGTAGTTATTAGGCTGATACGTACTGTGCAGTTATTGGTGTACAATCACTGATTAATAGCAATGAGTGAGATTCTAGGAATCACTTGCTAGTTTATTGTTGAGTAGAGTAGATTATTCTGTCAGTTGCAATGAGTGAAAGGCTGTTCTATTATCTGAGGTTTTATAATGTGAGTAGCGATTAAGCTCACTCTTGTTTTAGCGGTCTGAAATTGTGTGTATTATGTTGTGATTTGAGGGATCTTGGGGTGTAATAAGAGATATATGACTTTTTAATTCTGTTCTTTAATCAACATAACTGTTATTTGTTAATCTGTTATTCCATCGTTAGTTTGTTGAGTATAGGAGTGGCACCATTATTTAGTTGCTGAAGTCTTTATACTACTATTATATTTTATCTTGTATGCCTTCACTGACTATTACCTGATCGTTTTGGTGTAGGCTTATTACTACGCTCCAAACAAAAGAGAAAATTGTATCTTCTTATATATCCTATAACTATCGATCTTTTAGGCTGCCTCTCTCTAATTTTTTTTATATCCTCTCTTCTCTCTATCCCCCGTTAAAATGTACAGTTACATTTATCCCACGACATATTGCATCGTCCAGATTTGGTTAATATTAAAGATAACATACTGAATGTTTAATTTTAGCATGACTTCCATGAATGCCAATCAGTAAATCTAGTTTAGTGTCCTCATATTACCACTGACTTTATTATTAGATAAAGTGTATCTTTGCTTGTAGACTCTCCACCTTTATCAACCTCTCCCCTCCCCCACCCCAACCACGCTGCATTACTGTATTAGTAGTTAAGCTAGTGATGATGTGGGGAAAAAGAGAGAAGGTGACTGTCTCCTTAGCAAGCATGTGGCAGAAGAAGGTGACGTTGTAGGGATTTTCCCACCGAAGTCAGAAGGCATCTGCCTGAGCGGCAGGGAATCAAGAGTCTTCATAAACATAGGTCAGGTCTATGAACGAGATGTGAGGGCAGAATTCAAGCTCTAGGACAAGGCTGAAGTCTAGAAGTGAATGGACAACCAGAAATATCCACCAGAGTTTACAGCAGGTGAGCGCTAAGAAAAAGGAAGAAATATGGATGACTGTCTGACATACAATGTCATTGGTACATCACTGTAACACACATTGTTACTACTTACGCTGTCACTTTCAACATCTTAAAGATGACGACCCCGCCTAACACTGCCAGGGATATGTGTAGATGTTCGTGCATCTGAAATACAGCCTCGAAGTTCAGGAAACGCGTGTGCCCATATTTCTGAAAGTCCTTCAGGATCTCCACAAATTCATAATATCTCAAAAAGAAGACGATTCCCACAGCACAGGTAAGAATTACTGTAAATGCCTGGAGAAGACACATACGTGTTGAAATTCAATATGTAGAGTACAATAACTGACCAGAATTGCTGTAATTGGTGACTTGCTTTTAGGTTTGCAATTAGGTTGTAGAAATACTCTTACACGGTGGCTTCTCAGTCATGAAATATTTTCTGAATAAACTAAGAAATTTAGAGCGTTTACAGAAAATTATATAATATACATATTAACAATTAAAAATATGTGGTCAATAAAGAATGAAACACCTTTTTTATAGTCGAATGTTTTGTGTGTATTTATAATGTTTAAAAAAAAAAATAACAAAATGAAACATAACTGATAAGGGACTTTTTTTCCACGTCTTTAGGCATATTGGGTATATAGGGCTAGACCTATATTTTGTAAAACAATGTGGTTAGCATCTAGAAGGCCGCTTTTTCTTCCCACAATATCAGAAGGAAAATTCTAGCAGAGCTTTTACGTGTAGGGCAAGTATCGAAACATGTTTTCGAAACAGATATACTCTTTTAGAACATATATTCTAAATAACGAAACGACGAAAAATTTTTTTCAACTAAACAACAACACCACCATTGTCCCGTGTATTGACACGTATGGGACACTCAGTAGAATCATGTGATGTTAAAACGTTTTGTTTCGTCTGTAAAAATATGATTCTCTAAAATTATGTCGCAAAGATAATAACTTGAAAAAATATCCTGCAGATTATTGTTCAGATTGAAAATTAAATACATTATGTAATCTTGAAAAGATACATCATTTTTTGATTTTTAAAAGAAGATAAGTATCACACAACCAACGACTGTTTATAGTTTTTTGTTGTTGCAGATTTTACCTCCAAACAGCGCCAGAGATTTCCAAAGTACTTCTTGAAGCCAAGTTTACGATAATTTTGTATTTCCACAAATGCGTAAAATAACGCAGATATCACCATAATACC